GGGGCTCGCACATCTTGGTGCTCTCACGGTGGTATGCCCTGTGACTCTTAGAGTTCCTGGTGCACTGCAGGGACTCAGGAAATACTTGCCATGTGAGTGGAAGAGTGAATGGATGGATGAGTCACTATTCATATGGTGACCTGAGGGCTAGCTGGATTCCAGGACAGACAGAGAGCCCAGGAGAGTGGGGCCTGGGTCTCCTTGCCTTCATTGTGTCCTTGGCACCTACCAGGCATCTGGAGTCTAGCAGGCACTCAATAAGTATGTGATAATATCGTATTTTTGTGTGTTAAACATTATTTTTTTGTTCATCCTAATTCCTCTTTGACTAGTACTTCTTCACCTATTAAAACTTGACCGTGAGACATCCAGTCGCCTTATGGAGGAAAGTTACTGCAGGTGAACAAGGGTTAGAGTCTCAGTTTTTCCATTTCAGGAGTCAGTGCTTTTAATTTGCAAGAGCCCGGTGTTCCCCTATCAAATGCCCTGAGGGTCTCAAAGCTTCTCAGAGACGTGAAGGAACAGGTGTGGAGCCAGTGACAGCTTCTCCCTCTCAGGAGGAAACAGAGTCTCTGGGGCTGCAGAAGTAGGAGGAGGTGCATCGGTTAGCTTTTACGGCATAGCAAGCCTTCTCAAAACCCAGGGGCGGAAGGTAGCACAACTGACCATAATTTCTCATTGTTCTGTGGGTTGCCAGGGTAGTTCTGGTCTTGGTGGGCTCAGCTGGGGCTGGATCATTGTGGCAGCCTCACTCACATATCTGGGTGGCCACTCAGAGGCCCGGGGGTGAGTGCCAGTCTCCTATCCTCAAGGAACCCAGCCCAGGCTTCTTCCTTGGGCAGTCTCAGAGGGCTGGAAAGCCAGGCCCTTTTCCAGTCTCTTCTTGCATCATTCGCCAGCGTCCCCTTGGCCAGGCCCAGGCTGGGGGGTAGAAGGAAGGAGCCCCTACTCTCCTGATGGGAGAAGCAGAGCACAGGGTCATCTTGCGAGGGGGTGAGCATAGGGGAGTAAAGACATTTGTGACCTTTTTATTTGCAACTCACCACAGGAAGAGGAGAAGGATTTGAGTGAGACAGACCTGTGTCCTGAGAAGGCTCTATGCCCTGCCAGCGTCTTTTGGGTGGAGCTGGGGAGCAGGGATGGTAGAAACTGGGGGAGGAGTTGGGGGATCAGGAGAGATGGCTGTCTTTGTAGCATTTTCTGGAAGACAACATGGCTCAGACAAGGTGAGGTGGATGGGGTACAGAACACCAGGGAATGGACATAGTGGGTATTACTACTCGACCCTGGCGTGGGGTGAACAAGACACAGAACTATCTGGGGACCTAGGCCTAGAGACAAGAGGGCTAGCAGAGAGCCCAGCAGATACCAGGGAGAGCAAACGATGATGCAAAATGGTACACTCCCAGGTCCCCAGGGGCGGGGGAAGCCCAGGCGGGGGAAGTTAAAAACCCATTCGCACTGCAAGTGCCAGCTGGATGGGTGACACTGCTGGGTGCATGACACTGCTGGGGGGTTGAGACTGCTGGGTGGGTGACACTGCCGGGTGGGTGACACTGGTGGGTGGATGACACCGCCGGGTAGATGATACTGCTGAGTGGGTGACACTGGCAGGTGGGTGACACTGGTGGACGGATGACACTGGCGGGGCTGACACTGGTGGGGGTGACACTGGTGAGGGGGTGACACTTGCAGGGGGATGATACTGGCAGGAGGAGGAAACTGGTGGGGGATGACACTGCTGGGTGGGTGACACTGGCTGGGGGTGACACTAGTGGGTGGGTGACACTGGCAGGAGGATGAAACTGGTGGAATGACACTGTTGGGTGGTGACACTGGTAGGGGATGACACTGGTGGGTGGGTGTCATTGGCAGGGGATGACACTTGCGGGGGGGATGACACTGCTTGGTGGGTGACACTGGTGAGTGGCTGACACTGGTGGGGGGATGACACTGCCAAGTGAGTGACATTGGCAGGGGATGACACCTCTGGGGGAATGACACTGCTGGGTGGATGACACTGCCAGAAGGATGGATGCCGCTGGGGAATGGACACTGCTGGGTGAGGGACTCTTGACAGCCTAGAGCAGGGCTTGGCCAGGGGCATCTTTTGTTTTTACACGATGACAAATGTTTAGATATGCTGCTGGAGATTTAAACAATTAAATAGTCCTAGTGATCTGTTTCCACAACAGAGGACGTCATTCTGAGATGTTTTCTATCAGAGACAAAGTCAGCTTCTCTGTCTTTGTGTGAATCATTTACTAATTTGAGGACAAAACATTTTAAATAACACTTTAATTGATATGGAATTCACATTCCTTAAAATTTACCTTTTAAAAATAAACAATTCAGTGGGTTTGTTTTGTGGCATTCACCAATATCCAATCCCAGAACATGTCACCCCAAAAAGAAACCACAGCCATGCCCTGTGGCCTATCCCCATGCCCTTGCACCCACCAATCTACTTTCTGTCTGCAGGGATGCACTATTCCAGACCTTTCGTATAGATGGAATTTGGCTTGCAGATGGTGCAGCCCCATGCCTGGCTTCTTTCACCAGCCATAGGGGTTTCAGGGCCGCAACACTTCATTCCTTGATTCTTCTTTTTTGTTTTTTTAGATGGAGTTTTGCTCTTGTTGACCAGGCTGGAGTGCAATGGCATGATCTCAGCTCACCGCAACCTCTGCCTCCCAGGTTCAAGCGATTCTCCTGCCTCAGCCTCCTGAGTAACTGGGATTACAGGCATGTGCCACCACGTCCAGCTAATTTTGTATTTTTAGTAGAGATGGAGTTTCTCCACATTGGTCAGGCTGGTCTCGAACTCCCAACCTCAGGGGGTTGGCCAGCCTTGGCCTCCCATAGTGCTGGGGTTATAGGCGTGAGCCACTGCCCCCGGCTGATTCTTTTATGGTTGAGTAATATTCCACATGGATGTGCCACGTTGCATCCACCCCTTCAGCACTTGATAGACATTTGAGTGGTTTCTACCGTTTCCACTTTTATGTCTTTACAAGTGTTTTAATAAATCTTTGTCTAAGCATTTTCCCCTAATGCTTCAATTTTGAAACACTAGAAAATCTTATTATCTGTATACCATATACTTTATAAAATTTGCCTTTTTTCTTCAAGTTCCCTACATAATGCAAATGCGCAGCTTCTTGCAGAACTATTGCTACAGGGCCACCAGGATGTGTCACTAGAGGACTGTGCCATTTCATCCTTGTGTGGGTCTGGGTCACAGCCACCCACGTGCTGTGCTCCCTGGCTGCCTCTTTTGTGAAAAAGAGGGTGAGGAGGACCAGCAAGGAGACACGCCCACTTCAGGGGAACACTTCCTCCCACAGGTGGGTGCTTTGTGGGGGGAGCCATATTCACACTTCTGCATACTTAAGGCAAGAGAATATTAATGCCCATTTTACAGATGGGAAAACTGAGATAAAGACAAGTCCAGAGGTAGCAAGAGGCTGAGCTGAGATGCACCTCAGGATTGCCCTGGAGGCTTCCCCTGCTCAAGGCTGCCTCCTGCACAGCCCAACAGCCTCTAGCAGGCAGGGCCATGAATGGGACCCTCTGGCCTTGAAGGAGGATCAGCCCATTAGCATCCCTCTCCTCTTCTCTACCTGCCCTAAGGGAGGAAACCTCTACTTAATCTTCAAGGAGACAACTTAACTACAGGTGATATAGGGTGTTTAGCTTTTAAAGTGAAACTTACTGCAGTCTTCCCCTCGGGTACTGGAATCCACTTTCCCAATGCACTGCCTTATCCAAACCTCCAGGGCAGGCAGTGAGGCAGCTCGGGGGATGAGGGCTGGGCGTGTGTATAAAATCCCTGACCCCCCAAGAGCCTTGGGAAGCCGAGAGTAGATGTGTGCTGATCACCACCACCTGAGGGTTCCAGGACACAGACATCATCGTCCCTGTTCTACAGAGGAGGAAATGGAGCTTTCTATGCAAGTTATATCCTTCTTCACACTGTGACTTTTGAGGGGCAGGGGTCTTACTGGGCTCCCTGTGTCTCATGTCCTGCACAAGGCCTGGCTCCGAGGAGGGGCTGCACAACCTTCCTGCACAAGAATGAAGGCGGGAGCAAAGCAGTGACTGTGTGAGTCCATGGGAATGCCCAGGACCAGCACTCAGGACCTTTGTCTTCTGGTCAAAGCACCAGGGAGCAGATATGAGCAGCTTCGGCAAGACCCGGCTCAGCTGAATGAGGTCGAGAGTCTTAGGTCATGAACAGTACAGAAAGAGCTGTCCCTCTTCAGAACCAAGCACTGTGGGGAGGGAGGGTGTGGTGAGGGTCATCACCTCCTGCTCCGCTCCCCTGGCCTGAACGGACTGGGCAGGGCAGCCCTGAGGAGGGGCCACTGGACAGCAGAAGTTGAGAGCAGCCTCCCTCGGGTCTGTCTGTTCTGCTCTTCAGTTTTGTCAAAGGTCATTTGAAAACTGGTCACAACAATATTTCCTGCTTCTTCTCAGCAACAGCCAAAGGCCCTATCCATGATGTTATATATAATAAATGGCTTTTGATTTACTGGCAGAAAAAACAATATCACTGCCGATGCAATCTTATGCTGTCTTCTTACCAGTTAACAAGGGTGGGGTTGCTTGATGAAGAATCAAGTGGTTCCATGTGTTCATTCACCAAACGTTTATTGAAAAACTGCTTGGGTTGGGATTGGCCCAGGGCTGAGAACACTGAGGTGGCCGGGACACCGTCTTTGACCTCTGGGAGCTCACAGTCTAGTTCCACTCTTTACTCTGGCCACTGGGAAGTTTATGGCTGCAATCTGAAACCTTCATAATTGAAATATTTGCCCCTCTTCCTTTCGTCAGTTCTGATCTTCTATTTCTATTTTAATTTTATTCTATGCATATCCTTTATTATCAGCAGTTGTAATATACTTTTATATGGGGATAAAAAAGGAAAAGATACAGATGGCAGATTAAGCATGCACCCCTCCCCCACCTCCTCCTCCTGCTCCAGATCCCTGGAAATGACAGAAAGTGTCTTTCTGTCTCTTTGCCTCTCTCTTTCTCTCCCGCTCCCATGAATCCAGAATAGCTCTAGAAAACAATGACCAAAGAAGTGCCATAAACAAGGCAGAGATGCTGAGGAGTTCCTGAGAGTTCGAACACAGAGGGACTGGCTGGATGAAGAATCCCAGGTAGGAGCTGTCCATGGTGTTCTAAAGGCAAGGCTCGCAGACAAGGAGCAGAAGGCTTGGAGACAGTTGCTCAGGTGTCTGGGTGCAGAGCTGGCGTCTGAGTAATTGTCAGGCTCCCTCCTCTTCCCTGACACCTGTCAACAGGGAGGTGGGAGGAAGTCTGCCTCCAGGCTGGAGCAGTGGAGTGGCCATTGAATAATTCTCTGGTGATGGGGGATCTGAGAGAAACTGAGGTTCCAGGGGGGACCCCCTACCATACCCCCACCGCCACAGTAAACAAAAGCAACTGGGGATACCATAATCTCCCCTACAAACATGAGCATCCATCCCAAATCAGCAAACCAAAATACAGCATTCAATAACTAGGGAACTAACACCCAGGGAGACGCGGCTAGCAGCACAAAGAGAAAAGTAGAATTAACATCTTCAGAGGGACAAGTTTAAGATAGTAACAGTGTGGAAAAGAGCCAGTTACAGGTCTCAGGAATAAAGCCATTGAAGTCAGGTTTCAGTGGCAGGCTGAACAGTGAGTGGCCACCTCTGAAGGTGACTTGGTGAATGTGACCATGGAATGAGGAACTCTCCCGGTGCAATACTGAAGAGGTGGAGAGAATGAGAGAAAGGTGCTGTACAAGCTCAAGTTTTCTAAGTGCACTGGTGGGCATTCTATACAGGGTGTGTGGAGGGGTTCAGATCCATGATTAAGGCACAGCTTGTCAGACAAAGGGTCATAGTGAGAACACATTAGAGGAAGGTGCATTGCTCAGAGATCTGGGACTAGGAGCTGCTGACGTTATCTCAATGTGATTTGGGTTGTATCCCTTCGAGGAGGGAAATGTATTTTGGATGTACGTGGGATGAAAGCATAATTTAAGCAAGGAAGAGTTTTGAGATTTTATGCATGGTGAGAGCGTGTGTTTCTCTTCTGAGCAGCCAAGGGGTGGATTGTAGTCGGCTGTTGCCGCTATGTTGTGTGCTCTCAGAATGCCTGCCACCTCCCTTTTCCAGTGATATTAGCACCACTTGCCTTGGGAAAACTCTTGTCCCATTCCATGTGGTCCTGTTGAACCTACCAATTAAGGTCCTCCCTTCCCCCACTGGCCACGCTCCCTCCCCCGCCCACACACACGGAGTCACCAGGATAGCCACATGGTCCTGGCTGGACTACTAATGACATCCTATTTGCCTAGGGCAGTTGGAATGTGACCCAAGGCAGACCAACAATCCTCTCTGAAAATATTCTTTAAATGTGGTGTGGGAGAAACACTGTTTCTTCTGGGATTGTATGTCTAGGGTTGCCAGTGGCTGTTTCTTCTGATGCTTATAAAATTTCTGTCTGAAAAATGGAGCCAGACATAGATAGGCAGAGATAAAAACAAAAAGAAAATTAAAAAGCTGTTTTGGCATCACTGGAGGCCCTCAAGCTAGTTGTGCTTAAGATGGAAATGTCCACAGCCTGTCTTGTTAAGGAGCAAACCCACCTCTCACCAAACCAGAACACAAAACCCCAAACTTTCTTGCTTTTAACCATTTTCAGTTGGGTGCCCTTGGGACCAGTATCATCATGACTTATATAGGATCTTTGAAAATAGTGTTGTATTTGTATATGAATATCATATCTGAATATCTTTCTGAAGTCTCTTCTTGAATTTTCCAGATAGATGTTTACAGTAGCCACGAAGACTTATAGTTTTATCCTTTTCTTTCCAATATTTACCCTTTGTCTCTTTTTCCTCTTTTTTTTTTTTTGCCTCATCTATAATCCCTAGGATATAGAATGGTAATAGTGGGCATATTTGATTTGTTTCTATTTTTTCACTCATTCACCGTTGATTTAACATTAGCTGTGTGGCAGAGGTTGCTCTAGGTCCTAGAAATACAGATGTGAACGAGATGGACAAAGTCTGTCAGAAGCTTTGAGGAGAAACAAGGATGGGGAGAGTGAAAGTGTATAGTGGGGAAACTGGATGCAGCTGTACCCTGGAGAATATGAGGTCTTCCTGGAAGAAATCATGCCAACGATACCCTGCATCTTTTATAATGAAATCTGATCTTTCCTATTTGGTTTCTGATAAATACTCTATCAAAGGTAAGAAAGTTTCTTTTTATATTCTGTTTACTGAAAGCTTTTTTAAAAAAATCAGCAATGGATGTTTGATTTTATCAAATTCCTTTTTACAGCCATGAACATAGTCCAAGCCCTCCTTTTTAGCCTGTTAATGTGAACAACACCAAAAGCTCTGCTAACATTGAACCGGCCTTGCATTCCTATATTTCTGCATTGTATTAGCATATTATTCTGTTACTAATATTGGATTCATTCTGCTAATATTTTATTTAGGAGTTTTGCATCTTTTTATAAGTAAAAATTAGTTTAGTAAGTATATTTTGTTAAGTTTTATGAAATGAAGTTAGAAAAATTTCCCCCATCTCTATACTCTGAACTAGTTTAAGTTACATGGGTGTAATCTGGATGTCAGCTAAGATGTCTCGTCCTTGGAGAGGTCTGATTCTCTCTCAGGTTCTCTGGGTATTTTGGAGGAGGTGTACATTTTCCCACTTCCCTCTTAGCTCTGAGCTTCTGTTGCAACTGAGGTGGTTCCATTTTTGGATTGTCTTTCTGAGCCATATGGGCTGTTTCTGTTCTGCCTTCAATTGCTCCTAACGTATGACACATTCTCTTTTCCTTACACCAGGCAGGTGGGTGTCTTGCAAAACTGACTGAAGATTTAAGATTGAGGAGGGCTATGTCACAGTATCTCCCAGCAGATAGCCCCAAGGTAAACAGAAGACATCCCTTGTCCTCAAGGCTCCTTTGGCCTCCCCAGGAAGGGCCCCACACACTCACATACTCTGTCTCCTCCAAGGAATGGCCAGGTCTCTGTTTTCTGGGACCCTCAGCTTTTGGCTCCCCCAACTTCATTCCTCTACTCAGGCAGACTGATTTCACTAACCTCTGTTCTCAGCACAGCTCCACTTTTGCATGGCTAGAGACCCATCATATCTGTATTGTGCCAAACCAGGACCACTTCCTCCTTTTACAATTTTCTCCATCAAAGGGACAGCACACAAAAATACCGATTTTTCTGCTGTTTGGGATTGTTCCACACAACTCGGAAAGCAGAGGTGGCTATCATCACTTTTGATTTTAAATCCTTCCCCCTGCTCCATCAGATGTGTCATTAGCCAGTGCTTTTCAGTTTCTCTGACTCCTGGGCCAGCTCACTCCATCAATAAAGTCAGAGGCTGGGACTGGCATGAGAGAGTGAGAGAGATCAACATAGGGCCAGTCTGTCTTTGTGATTTCCAGCTTGTCCCAGCGCCCCACACTTGACATCCACATTTTCATTACTGGGCATTTGGGTAGCTTCTCATTTTTGGTTTTCATGAATAATGCTGCTATGAACTTTCCCTTCTTTTTTTTTTTTTTTTTTTGAGACGGAGTCTCACTCTGTCGCCCAGGCTGGAGTACAGTGGCTGGATCTCAGCTCAGTGCAATGCAAGCTCCACCTCCGGGGTTTACGCCATTCTCCTGCCTCAGCCTCCTGAGTAGCTGGGACTACAGGCGCCTGCCACCGTGCCCGGCTAGTGTTTTTTTTTTTTGTAATTTTTAGTAGAGATGGGGTTTCACTGTGTTAGCCAGGATGGTCTCGATCTCCTGACCTCGTGATCCGCCCGTCTCGGCCTCCCAAAGTGCTGGGATTACAGGCTTGAGCCACTGCGCGTCATACCCTTCTTTTAATGAATGTAGGTATGCCATTCAATTGACTATAGGCCTAGGAGTGGAAGTGCTTGGTCATAGGGTTGGCATATGTTAGCTTTAATAGATGCTGCAAATCTCTCTTCCACAGAGATTGTACCAATGTAGTCCCCCACCAGAAGCCTACGAGTGTTCCAGGATTTCCAGCACATGGCCTTTTTCTGTCATTTTCATTATAACCGTTCTGAAGGTGTGCAGCAGTAGCTCATTGGTGTTTTAATTTGCATTCCTTTGATGATCATTGAAGTCAGGCACCCTCTCCTGCGTTTACTGGCTATTGGGCTATCCTGTTTCATGAAGGTCCAAGTCCTGCTCATTTTTCTATTGAGTGGTGTCTCTTTTTATTGCTTTGTAGGAAATGTTTCTATTCTGGGTGAATCCTTTGACAGATGTACATGTTCTGAATATCCTCTCCCACTCCATGGCTTGCATTTTCAGTCTCCTGATGGTGCTTTCTGATGGATGGAAAGTCTTCACTTCAATGTAGTCCAACTTGCCAATTATATTCTTTATGGTTGAAGGTTTTCTGTATATCATTCAAGCCATCTTTGCGTGCCCCGAGGTAATATGGTTATTCTCCTAAGTCCTCTTTTTCCCAAGATATTTGCATGGTGCATTCATTTAGGTCTCTGTTCAAATGTCACCTCCTCATAGAGATATTCCCAGACCGTTCCATCTAAATCAGTGTTCTACCATCACATGCCACCCCTCACTCCATTTTAATGTTCTTCAATGAACTGATCATTATTTAACTTTATATTATATATTGAGTTGTTCTTTATTTGTTAGTTTATTGCCTGTCCTCTACACTAAATGTCAGCTCCACAAGGGCAAGAATTTTTCCTTGTTGTTCACTGTTTTAACCCCAGCGCCTAGAACAGTGTGTGGCACACATAATTGCTTGCTATAGATTTATTAAATGAATGATTCAATAATTGCATTTAGTCCTCACCACTGCCCAGTGAGGAAGGGCTTATTCTGTTGTCCCTTTGAGTCCAAAGATACTCCTCTTTAAAATCTCTGCAAAATCCTATCAGCCATTCACACTTTAGTAAAAACAAATATTTTTACTCTGCTTTTCCTTGGTAACATTTTGCAGGTGAGGACACTGAAGCTCAGAGAATCTATCATCCATCTCAACAATGTTTTTACAGCCTTTTTTTTTTTTTTTGTGCCAGGCTCTGGGGGGTCTGGAGGTATAAAATTGGTAAAATAGCGGTTCTTTGAAGCCATTTTAGGGACAAGTGGTAGAGTGAAGCATGGAGCTCAAGATCATCTGACTCCAAAGCCCACATTCTGTTTTCTGAGATGTGCAGGGGACTGAAAGAGGGACTTTTCTGGATGGAAGAACCTTGAGCTTGTTTGCAGGCTGTGTGGCAGGGCCCACAGGAGAGAAGGATTAAAGGTAAAGAAAGGCTAGGGCCTCAGGAGGCAGCCAACCCCTTTCCCTGATGCCCCCTGAGCCCTCCTTTACCTCCAGACCTTACAAGGCCTGTGGTCTCAGTTGTGTCCAGTCTGACCCCAACTTCTGGAAGGGACCCCCCAGCAAGTCTCTGTCCCCAGCTCCATAATCATCCCTTCCCATAAGCCTTTCCCTAATAAAATTCCCTTTCCTGCTTGAGGCTCTCCTCTGAGAAAGTATAGGTACCAACTCATTTATACTAAAGTATAAATGACTAATTAGACATGTTGTGTTGTTCCTAGTAGGATTTTGCTTTTCCCAGAAGGGATTTGAAATAGGCAGTCCTGTCACTGGAGGGATGACTCCATAATTGTGTGAATTCTGGCCAGATAAGATACTTGGGGAACCAAGAAAACTATCCACATTTAAAATACCATGAAGGCAGCAACTCTTTCGCTATACCTGATTATAACCAGTCTCCATATCAGCATAACATTTTCTAATCTGCAAAGTCCTTTCATCTCAACCAGGTGGGTCTGAGAAAAGGAGTCTCAAGGGGTTCGAGGTCTTCTGGAAGGGGTGGGGGTGAGGCTTGAGCCATTTTCTGCCTCTTCTGCCCATGTCCTTTCCACGCTGTCTGGAGCTTGGGCAAGCAGAGCCTAAGCAGCTGCATTCTGTGCTTCGCCTTAGAGGCTCCGGCTCCCAAGCACTCGATAATTAATGCCAATGAGCCCTGTTAGCCACATAATAGGGAGGGAGAGAGTTCAGTCCCCCTCGCTCTCCGGCCTGCAATGGCACCTTTCGTACTTGTGAGTTGGGCCCAGATCACTGGATTCTGGGATGACAAGGGGCAGGGAAGAAGGGACAGTGGATGTGGAGGTTTATCTGCGGGAAGCCAGGGATGGCCTGCTGGGTTTCAATGAGGGGCAGTTTTTCAGACTAGCTCCCTGGCCCCTGCGAGCCTGTCTTGAGAAGCTTAAAGTCCTGGACCTCATTTTCGGTCTGCATCCTGTGGCCTTGGGAGGCCCTGCTTCTCCAGGGCCTCAGTCCCCCATCTGTGCAGCGTGTATTTGGGAGACCAGTGCTCTCTAAGGCCTTTGAGCAGTCTGGAAACCTCCAGTGCTTGGAGCCAGGGTGAGCTTGCATCTCCTCCAGGTGGGTCCGATTGGACACCAGAAGCCTGGTCACCTGGGGGTAAGGGCTTGGGATGGGAGTGGTCCTGAGCACAGTGTAGGGAGAACTCAGGGTGTAAGAGTCAGGTAGGTCTGGGCTCAGGCCCCTGTTGGGACTCATGCCAGCTGAGTTACCTTCAGGATGCCACTTAATCTCTCTGATTCTTCATCTGTAAAAGGCAACTAATGGTTCCCTTTAATGAGGATGGCAGGTGCTTACCAGAATTGAGGGATCTGGAATGGGTCCCCGTTTGAGGGGTAGGGATGTTTTTTTAAATAAAAATCAGTTTGTTTTTGAGATGGAGTCTTGCTCTGTTGCCGAGGCTGTAGAGTAGTCGTGCCATCTCAGTTTACTGCAACCTCCCACTTCCAGGTTCAAGCAATTCTTCTGCCTCAGCCTCCAGAGTAGCTGGGATTACAGGCGCATGCCAGCAAGCCCAGCTGATTTTCTGTATTTTCAGTAGAGACGGGGTTTCACCATGTTGGCCAGGCTGGTCTTGAACTCCTGACCTCAGGTGAGCCACCCACCTTGGCCTCCCAAAGTGCTGGGATTATAGGCCTGAACCACTGTGCCCAGCCATAACAATCAGTTTCTGTTGCTTGCCTGCTTTAAGACTCTATTGTGGTTTCTCTGTCCCTAGCCTCCTGACTTGGCCCACAGGATGTATGTCACCACCCCCCCTCCCCCAGCCTTGCAGCTCCTTCTCTCTGCTTCAACCCTAGCAGCCTCCTTTAGGATTTTTCTCCCATTTAAGAGCTTCTCCCCCTTCTCTCTCCTTGGCCAACTTTTGTCTGTCCTTTAGTACCCAAGTCGAAGAGATTTCCTCAAAGACATCTTTTCCCCATTGAAATGAATCCCCCTGTTACAATTTCTCAGAGGGCCATTGTGTCGGGACAGCTATGACAGAGCTAGAGGAAGATTTATTTCTCTCTTTTGTAAGCAAAGTCTGGAGGTCAACAGTGCCAGACTCCCACAGCACCTCTGTTAGCCTCAAGAACCCAGGCTCTTCTCTTGCTCCATGCCTCTCAACATGTGGCATACCCCTCATAGACTCAGAAGGCTGCTCCAGCTCCGGCCGTCATGTGTCCCTTCCAATGGGAAGGAGGGAGGAAGAGGAAGGAGGAGGCTCACCTCTCCAACCATAAGATACCTCTAAGGAAGTATGGTCTGTTTGTGTCCCTCCAAAATTTATATATTGGAGCCTAATACCTAGTGTAATAGTGTGAAGAGGTGGTGTGTTTAGGGAGTGATTAAGTTATGAGGGTATTCCATTCCACAAATGGAATTAGTGCCCTTATAAAAGAGGCCTGAAGGAGGCTGTCCACCCTTTCCACCACATGGAGACATGTAGTAGGCTCCATCCACAAGGAACAGGCCCTCACCAGACATCAAATTGGTGCCTTGATCTTGAACTTTCCAGCTTCTAGAACTGTGAGCAGTAAATTTCTATTGTTTGCAAATTACCCAGTCTAAGTCATTTTGTTATAGCAGCCTGGTCAGACTAAGACAGAAGTCACCCATTTACTTCTGCCCAAATTCCATTGGCAGGAACTCTTTTGTGGCCACACCCAGTTGCAGAAGAGGCTGGAAAGTGTGCACGATGGCTGTACCTAGCTGAAAAGGAGGCAAGAATAGATATTGGGAGATGAATGTGTGTGCCAAGACCCTGCCTCTTTCCTGCAGGGTCTGTAGTCATATGTCCATGTAGCACTGGCCTGGTTGTTTCATATCTCTCTCGACTAAGTCAGGGCCTGGAGAGCAGGGAGCCCCCACCTGCTCCCAGGGGTCCCCTGTGCCTGGCACAGTATCTGGGATACAGTCAGTAGAAGCTCGGGAAATATTTGCTAAACAGGTCGATAAAACTAGTCTTGGACTCCTCCCTTTGCTCTCCTCTGATCAAGCCTTTAGGATTAAGCCCCTTCCTCCACACTCCATGCCTTTTATTCTCTCTGGAGAAGGCCTCTGGGGTTTTCCCTCCAGGGGCTTCATGTTTCCAGCTGCTCAGTGATTGGACCTGGATGTTCAGACCCCTCTCCCTCCCGATAGCTGTGCAGGGATTATATCATGGGGTTTGATGTGCAGATGCTGGGAGTAGGGGGAGAGCTGGTATGAATCGGAACTGACAGGTTCCAGCGTGAAGACGGCCCGAGTCCCGAGAACACCAGCAGCCTAATTGGCAGTGCTGTACATCAGTGCTTCTCAAGCGCAGTTCGGCCGAGAATCACCTGGGGAACTTGTTAAAAATACAAAACTTCTGAGTCAGTAGGTTTGGGGTGATATATTTGGTTGCAAGTGACATAACGCCAAATAACTTAGGCAAGAAGGGAATTGATTGTGAGGGCACAGGGGCTTCTCTTGGAACTGCGAGGAGGCTGGGGCACCCTGGTGGCTGGCCAAGAATCCTGTTGCCTTTGGGGCTGCCCTCTTCTCTGCTTCTCCAGTTCTGGGCGCACTGAGGAGCAGCTCCCATCCCAGAGGAGTGACCCCTCTCTCCACAGGGTTCCTGCAGGAAAAATCCCTGGGAGGACTCTGATTGTCCTGGCCTGGGTGTGCCCCAGAAATGCTGCTGGGGGGCTGGGTTCTGTGACTGGCCATGTTGAGGTTGGGGCCAGGGTGGGGGCACAGGGCATGTGCAGAGCCCCCTGAGGACTCTGCCGTCTCATGTACTGGGACAGTTCTGGAGGGTGTGTTCCTGGAGCTGGGCACTGGAGCCAGCTGGTTCTCTCTCATGCAGAAACCAGGGAGCCCTAGTTTTCCAAAGCCTCTAGGGACCTGGGATGCACAGCCAGACTGGAGACTCACCCTTGCAGACCAAGAGGACAGAACCACAGCTGAAGACCAGAGCCTGAGACAAACACCTCCAAATTGGTCTCAAGGGTTGGGTAGGAGAAGCCCCCACTGCTTGCTGCAGGCCTGTTTCTTAAGTGCCAGGTGGGGCATGCACT